ATAATAAAAAAATAATAAAAATATCTATATGAAAAAAAGTATCTTAATCAAATTTGTTTAAATTATCATTAGTACTATTATTTCAAAAATTTTAACATAATAAACCTTATCATATGTCTCAAGTAAAAAATTAACTGTTGGTGAAATTACTCTATATTTAATTTTTCAATTATTTTTTTCTATTTTACAATTAAATACAATTATAAAAAATACAAATTATTATGCAATTGCAAAATCAGCTAGTAAAGGATATGAATGGATTTCTTTGACTATTAAAGAATTATTATTATAGTTTTCTCTAATAATTTACATGAGTGTCTTTAATTTACTGAGTAGAGATGATTATTGAAAAATAGATTAGAAATATCCACAATATAGAATTACCAAATATATGACTTTAGTTCAGTTTAAACAAATTATATTTATTTTTAGTTATTTTTAATTTTATTCAAATTTGTTTTTTCTTATTTAAGTTTTTTTTTAAAAAATAAAGATAAAGCAATATCTTCATATTACAAATATTGAAACAAAATTGTCTCAATTACTATGGTATTCTAAAATTGACCTCTATCAATACAAATCCAAAAAGTTTCTAAATTGATATATTTACCAAAATTGCAAGTTTTAATTAATGAAATAGTCACCAGATTTCAAGAGAGAAGCAATAATACAGTGCAAATTAAAAATAAACCTACACCAGAAGAATACAAAATACTTTTGATTTGTGATTCAGGATATATATATTGTTTTGTTTTTACTTCATGTATTAAATCTATTGAATCTAATTCTGAAATTAATTCAATTCTGAATATTAATAAAATTGGGTGACAGGTTTATCATTTGATATCTCAACTTCCAAACAACTAAGTATTTGATATTTACATAGATAATTTTTTTACAAGTATTAATTTATTTAGTCATATGCAAAAAAATAGATATAATGGTTGCGGAACAGTAAGAACTAATACTTCAAAGTTTCCTACTTGCCTAAAAATAAAAAAATCTCAAAAATTAGAATGGGATACTCTTTTTGGTACTGTTGTAGATGATGTTTTGGTTGTATTTTGGATAGATAATGGGCCAGTAACTATGTTAACAACTATACATGAAATTTTAGATAATGGAAATCTAGTAGAAAGAGAAAGAAGAAGGCTGTGAACAACTAGTACAAATGCTGTGAAAGTACATAGTGTATTTGGTAATGCAAGTAAGAAAGTTCTTCCCATACTTGCTGTAATATATGATTACAACTATCATATAGGTGGCATTGATATAGCTGACCAATTAAGAGGCTATTATGGTGTACAAGTTCCTGTATGTCGCACTTGGATGCCATTATTTTTTTGGCTCCTGGATACCAGTATCATTAATACCTTTCTAATTTCCAAAAAGCTTAATTTGGTAACAATACACAAAGATTTTCAGATAAATTTAGTATGGAATTTGGTAGAAGAATCACTCAAAATGAGTCAAAATTTACATACATGAAAAAAAATAGCAACAATTCGGTCAGAATTACAGGATAATCAAAATCAAAATTTACAAAGATCATTTTATGTTACAGAAAAAATTTGACTTACCCATTGAATGATTACACCCACGAAGTCACTACCCAGTGTATCGTTCTGTGAAAAAGAGGGGTTCCTGTGTTTGGTGCCGGTTTAAAAATATGGCAGAGCAAGAAAAACACAATAAAAATTCACCACAGAGTCAGGTGTGGTGCACAGTATGTAATGTGCCTTTATGTCTCAATATACAACGTCCAGATTGTTTTATTGAGTATCATGAACATAAAT